GGAGGGCGTGAAGGGAGGGCTAGGAATGGGGAAAAAATAAGAACCAAGATGCATTGTGTAAAGGTACAAGTTCCCAATGAGAAATGTAATTGTGTTGTATACCTAAAATGTACCAATGAAAGAATTTTAAGAAAAAAAAAGTTTTACTGCTTTTCCTTATTGATACACTTTATCAAAGAAAGATTATAAATGCAAAAGACTCGTCTAATACATGTGGATGCTATTCAAGGGAATTCTAGTAAATCTGCTACCAAGCAGACTGCTACTTATATTGTTATTCTTTTTTGAATTTCTATCCTTTATTTGTGGTTAATAAAACCCACTTTACCAAAATGTCTTGGTAGAATACAGTAAGTCCCCAACTTACAAATGAGTTCCATTCCAGGAGAACGTTCATTGAGTTGGAGTTTTTTCCTCAGCCTGACAAAGTGAGTTTATACAGTACACCTGTGAAAGTTCACAAAGTCGAATGTTCATAAGCCAGGATCTTACTGTATTCACTCAGAATTAGTCTCTGGGTTTGAAGAGTTCAGTCTTCAAAGGAGATTCCTCAGTTTAGATTATTTTGTGATCAGTAAATTAAGTGACCTTAAAATTTCCCTTTTGTTAACCTCAGAAGTTTAAAAATGTTTGAAATGATTGCCTTGGCTGTCATGTCTTTCCTGTTGTTTTAACATTGATGAATTACTTTTATTTACCTTTCTGCTCAGATTATTTTACTGTATGTTATTGAGTGGCTATCTTTAAGGGAGAAAAGATTGACCTCAAAATAATTTTCAGTAGTATTAACCTTTGTATACAGTTCTATAGCTAAAAGTAATTTTAATTAATTTAATCTTGAAAGTTTTGGAATATATCATTAACTATATTATATTCCTATTGCTATAATTTAACTTCAAATTTTGGAAATTTCTTTTCTTCATTATCATATTCTTTAACCCCTGAAATTTAAAATTTTCAATCTTCTTATTTATATACCCTCTATTCATGTAACACCAAAACAATATATCATTTTAAAAAGATGTAAAAATCTTAGCGACACATAGTGTTGCACACGTGTAATCCCAGCCCTCTGGGAGGCTGAGGCAGGAGGATCACAAGTTCAAGCCCAGCCTGGACAATTTAGCAATTTAGTGAGACCTTGTCTCAAAATAATAAAAATTTAAAAAGGGGATTGGGGGTGTAGCTCAATGAACAGGCCCGGAATTCAATCTCCAGTACCAAAACAAACACAACATCGAAAAACCAACTGGCTTTCATGGCTCCACTCAAGGTGACTGGAAGTATATGGAGTTATTTCCTCTATTCACCTTCTTTTGTTAGAACAATACACCAGAGTTCTGACTGGTTGGATAAATATGATTCATGTTTTGTCTTGTAATGCATCTGTTTTGATGGTTGGCTTCACAGCTGAGGCGAGCCACCATTTCAAACCCAATAACAGGAGACTTGGAGACGGTACATTACAGAATTAGCAAAAGGTAAGAGATGTGTGTGTTCCATATTTTCCCCTCTAATGAGTGTTTTGTACATCCTACAGGAATTTTTATTCATTTAGGGGAAGTAGGTCATTTTCAGTCTCCAGCTCAAATCGCTGCCTTACCCATGAGCAGGATAACGCATGGATAAACTGCTTCGTGTTTCACAAGCTTTTACCTTTAACTAGAAGTTCTGTTTTTAATCTTTAACCGGTCTGTTATATTTAGCAAATTAATATGCTTGCTTTTTTTTAAGATTAGGTTTCGAATATCCAGGAAAGAGCCTGATACTTGTTTTCTTTTTCCTCTTTGTTGTCAAAGAGGGAAATAAAAAGCAGCAGCCGGGTTAATCTGAGAATCTGTGCTTATGCAGCTCTCATATTTGTAAGGGCTGCAGTGATGCAGATCCTCCTCCATGGTGATTGTGTTGGTCTTATGTCTTATAAAATATTATGGTCATTGTGGAGTAATCTCTGTTCCTCCCGTTGGAGTTTTATTTTGCTGACTCAAAAGTTGGCAATGGAAAGAATTATGCTTTTGAATTCAGTCTTCCAAAAATCACTTGAATTTAGATGCCTTTTACTTTGCATAGAGGTTGAATAACAGTTTTATGTGAGTTAAAAAAATGAACTTCAGACTAAATTTTTTTTCAAAATATTTAAAGAACATTAAACTTCTAGATCTGGGAAAGCGCCTGTGAAACCCAGTGCTATATATATCATTTACATAAAGCTTCAAAAGATTTTCTTAAAAAAAGTGAAAGGACAATAAATATATATCAAATAACTGTCAACCCATTTTTCTCTTGACTTCGAAGTGGCTGTTCTGACCGCCACCTTTCTAAATGTTTTTGAAACTATTACCTGCCTTCCAGCGCAGTCTGAATCCTTCCAATCACCTGTGGCTTGGCAAAACAAAACAAAACAAACAAGCCCAAAATTGCCTGCTACTAGAGTAAGTCCTTGTCCTTTCTCTTTTTTTTTTTTTGTAGCTGAGCCGAGCTACAGTACATGACCCTGAGACTGGAAAATTGACCACAGCACAGTACAGAGTATCTAAGAGGTAAGGTAGCAGTGGAGGGAACTTGAATCATATTTGGGTCTAATTTCAACAGAGTCCATGATATGATTTCTAAGACCCAGACTGTTAGGTGTAGGTATTTAAAGACACCTTTGCTTGAATTTTTATGATGGACTAATAAAAAGACATGGTTATGGGGCAATTAATCGACTGCCAGAGTGATTTATTAGATTGCAAAATGCCTAGTGAGGCTCCTTAAACCCTGCTAAGTGAAATCGTATTCTCACATTGAAGTAAAAGAAGTTCCTAAAGATGTTTCATTTGGGCCCTGTTGGAAAGTTGGGTTTAAAAATCTCTGGGTCTCCAGTAGCTGTAGATATTAAGAAAATAAATACCTTGAAGGACTACATAACAAGTCAATCAGTTTCAAATTTAGCAATGTTTGAAGAGACTCTAAATTAGGTTTTTAGCCCATAGATCACTAAAGTAATTTTTGAAAATAGATCATGGTGTAACTCAGGTACACAACTTAGGACGAGCTCACAGAATTGAGTAACATTGCAACAGAAGTCCTTTTTCATTGACTTATATAAAAAGATTTCTGTTGCTCATAAATATGAAAATAGAAGTATCATTGCAGTAAATTATTTTATTTTAAATCTAAGTAATAGCCACAGATAAAACTAATTAAAAATATAAGCACCAGCCATCTCATTAGAAACATTTAAATGTATTTTTTACATTTGATAGTGATTGTTTAATCAGTTTATTTAGATTAATGTGTACTAATAATTGTAATAATACTACTAAACAGGCCTTTTTTTTTTGGTACTAGGAATTGAACTCAGGGCCTTGTGCCTGCCAGGCAGGTGCTGGGCCTCTGAGCTAGATTCTTGGCCCAAACAAGCCTTTTACGTCACAGAAAAATCTATATTTTTTCTCAATTATATAAATATTATTACTGGTGCAACCACTGTGGAAATCAGTATGGAGATACCTCAAAGAACTAGGACTGGAAGTCGCATTTGACCCACCTATTCCCCTGCTGGGTATCTTCCCCAAAGAATTAAAAGAATCATACTACAGTGATATATGTGCACCCATTTTCATAGCAGCACAGTTTGTAATAGCTAAAACTTGGAAACAGCCCAATTACCCATCAGCTGGAGACTGGATAAAGAAAATGTGGTTTTTTAATAAAATGGAGCACTACTCAGCCATAAAAAATGAGAAATTAGAAGCATTTATAGCTAAATGGATACACATTGAAGTGATACTCTTAAGTGAAATTAATAGGACACATGTACATACCGAATAGTTTCTCTGGTGTGAGAAACTGAAAGTGTAAATAAGGACTAAAAGGTATAATAGATAATGTGAAATAGGAAAAAAAGGGACAAAGGGGAAGGGGAAGTGGGAGGGGTAGGGGAAAGGAAAGAGGGGAAAGGAAAAAATATGAGAAAAGGGAAAAATGGAAACAAAGTCTTTGTAAATAGAGAGCGATAGAGGGGTTGAAGGGAGAGCAGGGGACAGGGGGAAAATAAGAACCAAGAGAGTATGTAAAGGTGTACATTTCCAATGATGAATGTCATCATATTGTATACCTAAAATATACCAATGAAATTAGTTTTAAAAACATTTTTATTTTAAAGAAGTACAGAGGGATGAGTAGAACACTTTCAGGTATAAAAATGTATCACTTTAAGAGGTGGTTTCTCAGTCTTGAAACATTGACATTTTGAATCAGACCATTCTTTGTTGTTCAGGGCAGTTTGAGCTGTGTAGGGTGTTTAGCAGCATCTCTGGCACCCGTTAGATGCCCATCATCCTTTCTCCATTTGTGACAGTTAAAAATGTTGCCAGACATTGCCAGTCGTCCCCTGGTAAGCAGATTTCCCTGCCATCACCTCTGGGGACTTGCTCTTCCACTTCTGTTGAGAACTGCTGTTCTAGGATAATAATGGAATGAAAATTCAAGTTTAAGGGAGAAAAGAATGTTGTAAAATTTTCAAGTATTACAATCTATTTCTTGTATTTTAAAAGCAGATAGTGGTGGATGCCAAGTTGTTATGGTATTTAGATTCCACTGGATACGTTAAAAAGTAATCAATTTCCATAAATTACCAATATTTTAAGTGTGACATGGTGAAATCATTTCAAACTAGGTTATAAAAACTTTAGTTAACCAGAAAATTATGGAAGAAGTACACAGATTTTTAACAAGTACTTTAGGAGATGCTCAAAGGAAAAAAAATTTTTTTTTGAGATCTAGTCTATGTAATTCAGGCCAGCCTTGAACTCACTGTATAGCCTAAGCAGGCCTGGAACTTAAGATCTTCCTGCTCCAGCCTCCATAGTTCTGAGGTAGATTATAGGGATGTGCCACCATGCCCACCTCTCAAAAATTTGATGATCACTGCTGTAAGTCATAGCAGGTTTATACAGAATACTATACTGATTCAGTATTCCCTTACTTTGTAGGGGCAGAGTCTTATGTCCTTGATATATTAACCTTAAACATCACCATATACATATTATAATTTCCTCTCTCTGCTGTATGCACCCCTTGCCCACTTGTCACATTAAAAAATATTTTTTCTCACCCTTCAATAGGTTCATTGCTGAGGCCTCTATCGAAAAAACAAAAATAGGGGCCAGGGATTTAGCTCAGTGGTTCTGCCACCTGACTTGCAAGCGCAAGGACCTGAGTTCAATCCCTGGTATCAAAAAACAAAAACAAAAAACAGAGTAACAAGAGAAAAGTCTAAAAATTTAAAGTTTTACCTGACAGAGAGCCTTTAGAAATGAAGAGCGAAAAAACCAAAGAAACCTGTGTATTTTTATGCTGTCATTCAAAAGTATGATTAGACAGAGGGTGTGATGTAATGGTAATACACTGGGAGGAGCAGCACCCGGAAGGAAGCTCCCAGCCTCCATCCCAGGCTCCTAGGGCAGTGAAGCTCAGCTGGACCCAGCACCTGGAAGGAAACTCCTGGCCTCCATCCCAGGCTCCTAGGGCAGTGAAGGTGAGCCGGTCCCAGCACCCAGAAGGAAGCTCCCCCGCCTCCATCCCAGACTCCTAGGGCAGTGAAGCTCCGCCAGTCCCAGCACCTGGAATGAAGCTCCCAGCCTCCATCCCAGGCTCCTAGGGCAGAGAAGCTCAGCCGGTCCCAGCACCTGGAAGGAAGCTCCCCTGCCGCCATCCCAGGCTCCTAGGGCAGAGAAGCTCAGCCGGTCCCAGAACCCGGAAGGAAGCTCCCGGCCTTCATCCCAGGCTCCTAGGACAGTGAAGCTCAGCCGGTCCCAGAACCCGGAAG